AATTTTTTTCAATTATTACTAATTATTTGACAATCCCACCCTTCATTAGTACCTCTACTTTACTCCTGTAAAAGGATTTTGCGATCTGTAAAGTCGTTTCAAAATGAGAGCTTTGAAATGAATTGTCGGTAATTTGGACGGCTTTAGCATCCCCTTAATGAATCATGTGCTCACTGCGTTCTTATCATTATATTATTTATAGTGCGGATACATTTTTCATACGGGTTATTAGGCAAAATGCGCTCATTAGGCAAATTTTTATTCCCCAACGTACATCATCATAATGAGAAGCAGATAACTTTATCGAGGCATTTATTATATAACATACCGTATTATTTCATCGCAGCTCATCACGGAATTCGTATAGCCTCTACGGAAAAAAACTGATATCAAATATCTTGATTACATCTCGATTACGTCAAAATCTCATTCGTTTATCTCGTCCTAACAGCGGTCGTAACACGCCTTCGTAGTACGTGTGAGTCACGGAAAACCGTGTTGAGAATTTTTCTATCAATTTATATAATATCTATAATATATCGAACATTTTGCGCGTAGCGTTATCGATGCCAGTCGATGCGCTAACTTTGTTATGCCCCACCTCGTGTTATCCTTGTGTTATCTCCGGACGGGCGTAATTACACACTTCAATTATGTATAGAATTTCGATCGGACAATGTTCCTTGGATTTCGATCGGTCTATAATGCTCTCATTGCCGCGCGTATGCGTCTTCGCACACGGGTATAAGTCGTATATACTCCGTATAAACACATTTTGCACGTTAATACAATTTAGGAAATGAGCCGTACAAGCAAGGCGATCGCCGGTCAGTCGTTAGACGAATTAATATTTTAAGGGCTCCTTACCTGTTTTATTTTCCTCGGTAACGATCTAATAAATAATAAATACGATCAAGTCGTTCCGTGTCCGCGTGCCATTACGAGCGAAAGACAAAGGAAATACAAGGAGTTACAATTAACTGTATGAATTAGGGTGTGTCCCGCGATATTATCCTCGACTATTCGAAATATACCTTCACTACCTTCGACACGACCAGGCTCGAAACTTACTGAATAAAATCGTTTAACCTTTAACGAACGAATTGACTCGCTTATCAGCTGGGAGAGTAAAGGACTCGAGTGACAGTTGAAGAAGAATTCTGACCTCCGGTCAGTCGCGCGATCGGATGATCCGAGATGGTGTTTATACATTTTCACTTCGGCAGAATCATTTTCCGGAGTCTTGATGACCTCGCGTTTTAATGATAATAATTGGAAATGTGCATGGAAGTGCGCATAATTTTTCTTAAAATCTAATTTTAACTTACAATGTTTCGTAATTTATGCCAGTCATAAAAAAACTAATATACGCAGGACAGAGCAAGAAAACCAGGTTATTGATAAAAATATATGTTACCTATTGTGAACATTGAAATTATAATGACGGTATATGAATAAACGCGTAAAATTACCATTGACGGCGAAGGAAGAAGAAAAACTATTATATAATAAACATGTTTTTCCATTTCATTATGCAGCTCGAGCAGTAAAATATATTTCCAGTATTTAATAAATTCTGCGATAACTATTGATAATTTTAGCATATGTTTACTTGAGATATTTTTAAATATGTGTTGCACAAGTCGAGAAATAGCAAGTTGTTGGACATAAAGAAAATGAAAAGGCAAACTATGCAATGAAAAGGTATTCTTAAATAAAGAGAGCGGGTTATTTCGCGACATAGCTTGACTTTGCACGATGAAAAATTCAATATATATTCGAATAAAATGCGCATATTTATTTGCCATTCACTGTCAGGGGTCTGCCAACGGACAGGCAACGAATCCGAGCAGAAATTGCAGCGGTTTGTCATCAATCGCGCGTTCGCATTAATTCCTTGTGTTTCACTGACAGAATTCGCAAACATGACACGATATCGAAATCTGTCGAATGCGGACTCTTCTCGATTTCTGTCGTCAATCCATGTAAAATCGTGTTCGGAATCGCGCGATTTCCGCCGTCATACTGTGTCAGCGAACTTTGCTGACATTTGCTTACGTTCTATCGACAGCGTCGCGAATCTCACTATTAAATTTGTACTTCTGTCGACAAAATTCGTAGCAAACATTTCGCGAGATCTGCTCTACTTGAGCTATCTGCTGAAAAAAAGAACCGATTCGACATTCTATCGCGTGATGTTCGCGAAAACATATAACGTCACCGCGCATTATCACAAAGCGTTCGTTTTCTTGACTTTTCTTTACTTTGAGGGACAATGAATCGATTAATAACATTGCTACAAACAAGGATTCTATTTGTAATAGTGCTTTTCCAAATGTAAGTTGTGCGAAGATCCAACTCGTCTATTGCATATAAATCTTTAACTTTCTTTTTAATTCTATTCAAAGAGATTTTATTTTATTTTATGAAATTTTATCACACGAATTTTTAAATACTTCAGATTCATGCAATTTATAAATTCTGTATTTGTATAACCTTTATTAGATATTTTTATAAAGTTCTTTATATCATTATACTTTATATCATTACTATTATTTATAGAACAGTTCGTTGCAAAAAAATTTACACGTGCACAGTATCTTTTTATAATTATCTTTTTAAATTAGGGGACTACTTTTATTGCTTCTAAGAAGTTGGGTTAGACATTATTTAATGGGATTGATAGTTAATTCTTGTTTAATAAGAGAGCATTTGTGATTAATATTTACATAGATTAGCATCGCAGATCGCATCGACATTAATATCGATATACCGATACCATGATTGAATATAAGAAATAATTTGATATTATGAGTTTTCCAACGTTTTTTTTTCACATTTACTCTTTATTTATTCTTTATTATATCTTTCTTTATTATTCTTTATTATATTTTATGTGCGTCGCACATTTCACAAAAAATTTTGAACGTTCTACAAATAAAATCTTCTTACTAAAGATTTAATTTTGAAACTAAACGTTAACTATGAAACTCTTAAATTATACATAGTACACATTTATAATATACATTTATAATATACTATAATAATACAATTATACATATATGTACTATTTAGAAATTCGCGATTAAATTTTAGAATGTCATTTATTTATTCATTTTCTATTAATAACTGCACACGTATAACATTAATGCTTATATTTGTTCTTTAAGATATGAAGATACAAAGTACGAAGTTCAACAAAATTCTGAATTAAAACGGTCTGTAAAACGCACGGTATATAATTAAAAATTACGTCGATCTCCTGACAGAGTCTTGTTCGATAATAAAATATTTGAGAAACATCGAACTTTAAACGTACCTCTTTGGAAGTATTGAATTGTTTATTGAACTGTGATATTGCAATCTCACATTGCACACTTAATCAATGATAATAAAATCAGTCACATAGATTAAAGGCCGTTCTTGTTTACATCAGTATTACTAATTATAAATTGCAAATCATAATTTACATTATATAATAGGATGAGGATTATCAGAAGATCGATAAAGTATAACTTTTTAATTACTAATTTCTAATTTTTATTTTATATATATATATGTACAATTAAATTAGAAACATTAAAAATAAAAATTAGTAATTAAAAAGTTATACTATATCGATCTTCTTATAATCCTCATCCTATTGTATAATGTAAATTGCAAATTATGTAAATTATGATTTGCATTTTATAATTAGTAATACTGATGTAAACATGCAAGAACGGCATTTAATCTATGTGACTGATTTTATTATCATTGATTAAGTGTGCAATGTGAGATTGCAATATCACAGTTCAATAGACAATGCAATACTTCCAAAGAGGTACGTTTAAAGTTCGATGTTTCTCAAATATTTTATTATCGAACAAGACTGTCAGGAAATCGACGTAATTATACTGTGCGTTTTGCAGACCGTGTTGATTCAGAATTTCGTTGAACTTCGCACTTTGTATCTTCATATCTTAAAGAACAAATATAAGCACTAATGTTATATATATATAAAGTTCTTAACTTTTTATGTTAAATTTAATTCAATTTGTATGTTTCTTATTTTAATATGACATGTAATCCATTGTTAAATGTAGTTTATTTTATAAAAACACTCCACAAAATAAAAATTTTCGATATCCGGCAATTCATATAGAATATGTAATATTTACGTATATACATAGAAATAAATACGTAATAATGAGTTCTGATCTATACATAGATATAAAAGAAGTTTACGTAATAATGAGTTCTGATCTATCCATTATGATCATACAGGAAACGGTTATTTGCCGATAGTTTGTGATTTGTTGCGAGGAAATTGAAAATAAGTCACGTAGAATAATAGCGATCATGTAACTTTAGCTCGCAAACGAGATACTCGAGGAAACGTCAAATGATTTCCCGTGTACCATCTTTCTTTAACATCAAAAGCATCGCACTAAGTGCCTTTTAATCGGCCGTAGAAACCTGTCTTTTTATAAACTTTATTAAACCATGAAGACCGCAGGTGAATTTATAGCATAATTGCGCAACGATGCACGAATTCTTATACACTATAGAGAATTGCAAAAAATGAACATTATTCTTTTAAGGGCAAGTTTTTAAAAATAAAATAGATTATCTTTTCATAATATAAAATAAAAAATAAATTACTAATTTTTTAATCGTTTCTTGTCTCTGCGACGTTTTTTACATTGTAAAAAAATCTATGTATTTTATTTAATTAAAAATAAATTGGGAATTAATTCCCCCTTCGCATAATATAATAGTGTATTATTATGTGATAAACAATCTAATTTATTTTTTAAAACAATTTTATCTTAGAAATAAAATTCAACTAAACGTAGTCATTAGATTTTAATAGCGATTGAAATCTTGAAAGTTTTGATGATTTAGAAATAAATTCCAATTCTTCAACTTTAACACAGTTTTATCTTTTAATTCCGATCTCCGAATGGATAGAATAAATTAATGTACAATCGGAAATAATTAATCTTGTACGATTTCAGAGTACTATGCGGTATTTACTCGACGAGCGGCATCGCGCTGTTATTTCTTTTTGTGATGCTATGTGCCTTGAGCGAGAGCGTGAGATATCGAGTGAAATTCACCTTCTTCATAATAGCGAGCGCGTTAGCCGCAGGATTATGGATACCGTTCATGCTATTTCGAATCGGCAGCTGGAAAAACGCGCTGTAAGTTCCCGTATATGGATAAAGCTAAATTTTCGAGTCTTATTAAAATATAAATAAAATGAAATTTTATACAGAATGCCGGCTAGAGGCGTGGTGACGATAGCAAAGATCATCGGGATGAATTTCCGTTTTCGCGGCAAGGAGAACATCGTCAAAGACTCGGGCTGCGTCGTGCTCATCAATCATCAGAGTTCATTAGATCTTTGCGGTAATCGAGATTAATTATTGAAATTATTATAAGTTTGTTGTGTTTAAATTAAAAAACGCTTTGAACAAACTCGATAAAATAATAATGCGCGAATAAGAAAGTAGGCTATCTTATCAGGAACGAAAGTGCCGCGTATGCATAATAAAATTGGCCTTGCAGTTTTAGGTGAGCTGTGGTTAGCGATGGATAACTGCACCGTTATCTCCAAGAAGGAGATTTTGTACCTTGGACCATTTGGTCTCGCGTGCTGGCTCTGGGGGACGTTGTTCATCGATAGAAAAAACGCCGGAGAATCATGCCAGATTATTAATGCTACAGCAGAATCGATTCGTCTGGCGAAGGTGACTTTACTGTAATGCTCTTTGTACCAACTTCGTATTGGCAGTGTGGGGATTTAAAATAACATCAAAAAGTATTATATTATATTAATATTAAGAATATATTAACTCGGAAGAGATTATTTAAGTTATTATTAAATTATTATTATTTAAATTATTATTATTTCAATTAATTCTTTTAGCGGAGGCTTCTTTTATTTCCCGAAGGACATCGACATTCGGGTAATTCATTGCTTCCCTTCAAGAAAGGCGCTTTCCATGTCGCGATTGAATCTCAAATGCCGATTCAACCTGTTGTTGTGTCAAAGTACTACTTTCTGGACGGCAAATTAAAAATATTCAATTCAGGTAAACATATTTAACTATATTTTAATGTATATAATTAAATAATGAAGGAATCAATCATCTGTGTATATATCTGCTTGTGTATATATACGTACCATGTATAGTTTTCGATATCTGTTTTTTTTTTTTACATATAATTACATATAGATAATTACATTTTCACGTATGATAAGTATGTCTAAAAGATGATTTTATATTTCAGGAAGCAGTTATATTACTGTTTTACCGCCTATTCCCACTGCGGGTTTGACCAAAGACGATCTTCCAAAACTCATGGACCAGGCGTACGAAGTTATGAACAAAACCTTCATAGAATCCACGACGGAGTGCCTCGAGGAACAGATACGAAGTTTGAAGTGCGAGTGATAAGAATATAAACCCAAAAAGATTAGCGTAACTAAGTCATTATCAAAATTCTAATCAATCAGAGAGCTCGCGACTAACTGATTTGTAGATTACACGTGCAGAGATTGCACGTGTGAATGACTTTATTGCGTTACTAATTTCCATGGACGCGTGTGATTCCATAACATTCTTTCATATACACGACGCATGTCAGCTTAGAAAGTTAAGCTTTTAGTTCAGTAAGATTCATCTTTATACATATTTCGGTCGATCAATCGATAACTACTTTCCTCGCTTATGTTACAATCACAATGTAAGTTTAGAACATCATGTTAATCAGTACTCTTCCATTACTTCTTATACAAGTTTATCTTTAAAGATCAGAAGGATTTTGGGAAGCTCAAATAATTTTTTAACGATGCAATTTGTACTTTTTATAACTTACAGAAAAATATAATTTATAACCGACATTCTCTCTTTCTATATCACCATGCAAAACGTGGCGTACATTTTATAACTGATACGTAAAATTGAGAAGAAAGTGATACCAAGTGTAAAATCGTACAATATGTAAAAGTGTATGTCTATCCTATTATGTGTATTCCAGTAGGTATAAATTACTTACATTACATGTGTGTGTTGAGTAATATTTTTGCATTAAGTGTCATCAACCTGGATATTTGAAATCTGTTATTATTTTACATACGCGATTAATTTGTAACAGATAAGATTTCTCTCGTAATAGAATAAAATCAATAAAATATAAAATAACGAGGTATCTTCTTAAGTACAATTATTATTTTATATCTTTTTTTACTACATATTGTTTAAATGATAGTACGAGTCACATATATGTTTGTAAAAGAGGGACAGAGTGAAAGATACATTGAACTTTCAAATATTCGAGGTTGAATTTACAAACATTGTGACGTTAGTTCGTGATGTATAATATTCTCCAAAAATGGTTTACCATTGTATTATGCGAAATATTTTGTCCAAAGTACCAGATTGTAATGAAATTGAATTACTTACTAACAATATAAACGAGATGCACTTATGTACATGTATAAACGTTTCTATGTAATCTTTTTTATATTATTGTAAAAGTAGATCTTATCAAGTATATTTGTGCAACATATCCACTTGATCCTCTTTGAAAAGCATTCTATTGACGGGATGGGAAAAATTAATTACTTAATGCGTTAGGAATCTTCAGGAAAAATATGTAATTAATATGTATACGCTTCTTTGTACTCGTAAGACTATGTTAACGAGAGCAATATCGAAGAACAGCGGAGTAAATGTCGTTGCAAATGTCTGATTTATATGTCTATACAAGACTAATGTTTGTTGTTACTGCTATAATAAATTATATTTTAAATAATATGGCGCATTTGGGACGATAATATACATATGTATTATCATTTTTATCATTAATTATCAATTTAACTAGATAAAACCTGAAAACATTAAATTCTCCCATAAAATATAACATTATGATCAAATATCAAGCAGCAATATCATCGAGTTTTTCAAGACTGTTATAAACCTTGTCGGATACATTGCTCATATTAAAATTCAGTCCTTTAGATGAAGGATGGTAATCGGTAGGACTTGACAGAGCCACATAATTTTTGAGCTTTTTACCATAGACGTGATTGCTACAATACGGACAAGACGTTCTCACAGGCATTACTCTAGTTTGCCAGTCAGCTAAATTACACATTTGGCTCAAAGGCTTTATTCGAATGAATTTTAATGTCTTCTTCAGCCTGGAGTGCAGAATAAATATTAGATTTCTTCATTCGAGGCCAAATTATTTCCGATGATAAAGCATCCATCTCGATAGCACAAATATCGCAGATATTTTTTTTCCTTGTAATCATTTTTCCTTCATCCTTGACATCAGTCTCTTTCGCGTTCTTTCTATTTGTACAATTATCCAAAGCTGACGATCCATGTTGTATACTGTTCAAACACGAGCGTTTGCCAACTTGTGTTTGTACATTCGTTTTTATTCTTCTTGGAATTATTATCTTAGGAAAACTATTATATTTCGTCTTGTCTGTCGTTCGATACGTTTGAATGCCTTTTTGTTGAACATTTGAAGTTGAAGTTTTTTCAGATATTTTTCTATTAAATACTGGAGTTGTTAATGCAGGAATAACGCATTGAATTTGTTTACTGTTTTTTAATGGCCATGGATCGCTGATAAAGTTCCCTGTTCCAGATTTTTTATACCCTTGGCTATTTTCTTCAGAATATATGTATCTTTCTTGAGACAGAACTTTCTGTAAATATAATTTTACGTATATACATTTCTACATTTTGTTTGATTATTTTGCTATTTTAATGACAGATTCTCTCATAAATCGAATAAAATTATCAATATTAACTTACCTTCACTATTTCATCGATCTTTTCCTTTTTTTCGCTTACATTTCTCCATGAGGAAATTATGTTAAAAGATGGTTCATTCTCAGCTCTAAAACCTTTAATTAAATCATCTTTTCTCATGTTCGTTCTGTTTACAATATATGTTCTGGCTTTTCTTCGCTCGGTAAATTCGTCGACCTCTTCCAAATCGCAGTAATCGTTACAAATATCAACTTCGAGATCCACCGAAAGCGAAGAAGTTAAAGATTCGTCCATTCCAATTTCGACAGGCGAAGAATCCGTGCAACATTCACTATTTCGCACCGTATCGACATTTATAAACTTCGGGAAATCTCTCTTTTCCCCGAAACTTAAGCACTCGAGCGTCAATCCGCTAATTTCGTCCTCTACTTTCTTCTCCGGCGTGCTACATCTGTATTTATTACATGGCAATTTATATAGCGCATAAGGACATTGTTTCCTGCATGAACATTTTTTATATTTTTTTCTTTTATTCTTTAAAAACGTTTGTCTCACATAATTTTTTGATAATTTATCTGCGAACCTATCTAAGTGAATCATAGATCGATCATCGTTTATCATTGATAACGGGCTGGTTTGCTCATTATTTTCCGTAATGTTTCGACTTGCAAAACGGTTACAATTGCACGACTTCTTGTCACTTTCTTGTCGTGAACGTATAACAATGTCTGCTTGTGCAGAAGTATCAGATGTAAATGAAGTATCTACCGAATTACCCAATTCTTCGACAATGTCGGTGTACTTATTTATATATTCGTTTCTTCTATGGAATTTTAAGGACTCATGTTGACTTATGTCTTTTCTTTGCAAAAGACACATTTGTTGCTTTTCATTGGATATTACACATTTATTTTTAGTGCTCTTTGCGAATTGTTGAGTCTTTCGAACACTTTGTATATTTTTAATTATCTTGTTTTTAAAGTATTTCAAGTTATCGTATATCGTTGAGAATCTAATTGGTTCTTGGCCCTCTTTCTTCAAGACCTTAATACACAAAAGTAATATACATTTTCTTTTTATAAGTTTAATACGGTTTAATATTTCCTACGTAAAACTATTGCTATATATATATTCTTTGTATAAATAATTTTTATTATAAACGTAGATAATTGTTATATGTATAAATAACAAAAGACGGCAACATGCTATGACATTTATTATATTAAATTCTCAAATCTTAATCAATTTTTCCAAATACTGTGTGAAGAAGAACATTGTTTATGTAGGAAATATTAATAAATATGTCGGAAATATTATGTTAAATTTGTAAAAGAGAATATTGTGTAAAAACGAATATATACATATATAATATTTATATGAGAAATTCTTATGACCAAAAAATGTTGGTCATTATTATTAAAAATATCTTTGTTTAATATATTATCAAAATACCTGGCTATTTTTTGTGAGCTTATACGTTTCGTCGATCTTTGCGGAAAATTCAATATTTTCAAAACATGGTTTTACTTTTTGTAATACATTCAGACTAGCATAATCAATTTTGTCATTTTCTTTTATAGATTCGAAACATACATTTTCACGATTCACGTTAAAGGATATTTTCTTCAAACGATTTAGTTCCGACCTAAGTTCGTCCACTACATCTGAAAGAGCTTCCACTTGTTCCAGTATTTGTTTGAGCTTACACTGATCATGACGACAAATATCTTTTGACATAACTTGTACTATCAAAATAATGATATTCTAAAAAGAAAATAAATGCGGAACTTTATTAACATAGCATATTAATAAAATTTATAAAATCGGAGATCTGAATTGAAGTGAAATATTATTTTTGAATAACATGGTTAAGTTACATCTGTCATCTACATATTAATTTGTTTTTCTTATACATGTATACAATTAAAAAACGCTGTTAAGAGAAAGCAAACTTCAAAACTTAAGTTATTACTTATGAGTTTTCGAAAACGTAATAAGCACAAAAAGTTTTATATCGATGAGTAGAATCACATTTTGTATTAGCTTTAACTATACGCCAATCGTGTACATTTGTACAAGAAACCATGTATCTCCATTTATATTACAAGTTATATAAAATTTAATACATTAACAATAATAACATATACTACAATAATATATAAAGAAATGTATATATAATAAAACATAATTACAAAAAATATATAATGTACGAAATGGATAAATAATATTATATATCTTATCATAATTTATGGCAGAAACATTTCTTACATTGATAAAACGAACTGTTTCGTATTAAATATTTATTTATTTGATTTATTGTGTGTCCTTGGTACACATTCGTCGTCAGTCGGTGTCGCGTATAGACTGGCTATTAGTGTTTGGTAATACAAAAATCTCTTTCTTCCTAACACATTTACGCGTAATACTATATTTGTAAACTGTATATATGTACAATTTCCATTACTTCACTTGTACCGGCGTTTTGATCTAATTTACAGAATAATTGTGATGCGTTTTCCAATATCGCCGTTCTCGTTGTCGTTCTCGCGCGGCTACTATTAACATTACGATGCAAAAATAATTATAAAAAGATATGTAAAAATAACTGCGCATGCGTCGATTAAAAAAAAAAGAACAAATTCCGCACGATTCGAAATAAATATCAATATCTTTATCTCTGTGTCTTTTACATACCACTCGATGGCCCTCACCGTTTACGCTTCGTTGTTCATCGCGGAATCCCTAGAGATCCTTAAAGATAGCATCATTATTGTACCCAACGAATGATCTCCTGGCACGAATTGACAAGCAGATGTCTCATTTACGATAATAATGCATTGATCACAATAATTTACATTTCTGTGTAATTTTACATATTAATTGCGAAATCTCTCTGGAATGCTGATAGCGTGTTCGATCGAGCAAACTCCCCTTCACGAAATGTGACTTAGTCTCTCTGCTCTAATTAGCTCTTCTACAATCGAGGTAATTGGGTTGCCCATACTCGTCTCGTGTATGTGAAAAAAATCGCTGCTATAATACTTCCGCCGCGGAACTTACGATAAGAAGGACACTGTATACCCCGGATATCGCAAGGCAGGAAAGAGATAGGAAAGGAGTATTTGAAGTAACCGGCAAAGTTTCCAAATTATCCATTTCTAATTTCTCGGTTACGGATTGATAATTGAAATTGAATTATACAGTAATACTGCGATTCCGACATTTCTCAAAAGATTCGCACTGTTGTATTCTTGTACTTAGTAGTTCTAACTAACTTGTTCATAATACTGATAATCGCGATTTTATCTTTTTAAATCGTTGAACAGGTTCGAGAAACACATCTGGATTGTCCTTCTTGCCGTAAGATCTCTATTACCGTTCCGAATGAAATTATTCCTTCCAAAACACACCTGGCGCGTGTCGAGCGTGGTGTTAATACTTAGAGCTACACCGTAATCTAACGCGGATCTAGATGTACATAAATAAAGATAGAAGACGAAGTATACACCAGAGAAAGAAGCGGTTAAAGAAGTGACTGATGGAATCTTTCTGGCTGTCTTGATCACCGAGAAACGGACAGGTCATTTTCCTGTGTCTGCCGTTCGTTTCTTGGTCCCTCTTTCTCCTCCAGTATTCATATAACACAGCCTTGCTCCTCCTTCTCTCTGCACGAATGGTTTCCCTGCATTCTAGCTACTCCTCGTGACTCCTATCTCTGCCGGCAAACGTCAACAATTCGATGTCGAGGCCGTTGAGATCAGAGTAATACATAGGACGAAACGCTCATTTTAGGAAATCTTGTTGTCCCCATCGCGCGTAACTGAGGATTTCTTCCGTCAGCTTTGCCCTGCAACACATCCGGTTCACCATGGTCCGTCATCCGGGACGAAACCTCTTCTGATGCTGTCTCGGACTGTTACAGGTGCATCTTGCACAAGCTGCTGTCTCGTATGCCGCTGCTGTGTCGGACTAGCTCAGTTTAGTCGGCCGGAGTATGGTCTGTCGGGAATTCGGGGGGGAATATTGGGTACGGGACGCCTACAACATATAGACAGATATTGATTGTTGGATATATGTTCATGAAATTCAAAATGGAAACACACCGCAGGGGGGATCGAATGAGAAACGCGATATTGATACACAAACAGGCAAGCTTGAAAGATTCGATGTTTGAGTAAAATTTTCCTCTCTCTTCAGCTCTAAATATATAAACTAAAATATTTTAACTAGGACGAAGAAAGAGAGAGAGAGAGAGAGAGAGAGAGAGAGAGAGAGAGAGAGAGAGA